TGTCTGGGCAGCCAGCCCTGCTGGGTAGGGCTTGAGGCCGCAGGTGCAAGCTGCTCCATGTGCAGGGCAGGGTCTGCCTGGGCAGGATGCGCTGGCCCGGGATCTGCCACAGCATCCACGTCTCCCAAGTAGAGGTGGGCTGTCCTCGTTTGCGGCAGCACTGGTGCTTCGCAGAGTGAGGATGGCCACGTTGCAAAGAACGAAGGAATCGTCCGGAACCCGCACATGGGGTTTAGGGCTAGGCTTTAGGACGGATATGAGAGCAGGCCAAAACCGCACGAAAATATTTGTCATTGCAAGCCCTGTAAACCCTTTTGGTTGTAGATTATATTGCGGCACCAATATATGGGGTACCAAAATGAAACCCTAATTTTGGGAACTACCCAGAATTTAAATCTCATGTTCAGGTCTATTTTTAGTACCTTATGCCATAATTGTATGGGTAATTTAAGCCCATGATTAATAAACCCAACTCCTTTTGAAGACCTAAATATAACAGGATCCCTTTTATAATCCCTATTAAGGAGAGGGTGGTTCTCAATCATGGGGTCTGGGCTAATCATTCAGGACTCTAAATCAGACGCTACACCGACCCACACCTGGGTATTTAAGGGTTTTGGTTTAGGGCTTAGGGGTTTAAGGCTGTCTAAACTGCTGGTATCCCCCTCAACAAGGCCTATAAGTCCCCTAGATAGTGCCCTATCTAACCTCTCTTGGAAGTTCAGAACCCAAACCCTAAGCCCAATAATAATCCCCTATATATGTAAGCCCCTCTAAGGAAGTTAGACCCTACAAGGAGGGGCCCCCTAGTTATAAGTTGGGTTATAACTTGGGCTAAATATGGCTATAAGTTCCATAAGTTGTATTTATAGGACTTATAAGTATAGTTATGTAACTAGGGGGCCCCTCCTTGTAGACCCTATATATTCCCCCTTTTAAGGAGTTTACACTCTAAACCCTATGCAATCTGTATATGCTCAAGTTATCAACCTGAATCTAAACCCTACACCCTACATCCTAAACCCTAAATTCCTAAACCCTAAACCCGAATCCGGGCTTCCGGCTCCGCATGGACGCATTGAACAATCCTGACACCCAGACTCAAGGCTATTTGGGAGACTCACGGAACTAGTAGGGTTTGGGGTTTAGGCCTTAAGGTTGTAGGTTTAAGGGTTTATGCTTTAGGGTTTAGGGTTTAAGGGTTTAGGGTTTGGGGTTTAGGGTTTACGGGTTTAGGGTCTACGGGTTTAGGATTTAGGGTTTAAGGGTTGAAGGGTTTATGGGCTTAAGGTTGAGTGTTTTGGGGTTTAGGGTTGGGGGTCCAAGGGTTTAAGGGTTTAGGGCTTTGGGTTTAGGGCTTAAGGCCAAGGGTTTAGGGTTTAGGATTTAGGTTTGGTCTTTTAGGGTTTGGGGCCTGGAGACATGGATGTTAATTGGACTTAGTTACTACCTAAAACCTGGCGTGTAACCCTACTTATATCCTCCTCAATGGCCCTATAGGGGTCACCGAAATGATACGTAGGATTTTTTGCATTTATGAGTAGTTACGAAGTCCCATGAACCCTACGCCCTAAACCCTACGCCTAAACCCGAAGCCGTAAGTACCTTTTCGGTGAGTTCTTTTTTTGAGGACTATATCGGGATAGATAATTGGGGTCTCCTATTCTGGAAAATACCATATGTCCCTCATAGAAAACTTCTCTTGTGGGGGGTACATGTAATGTTAGGGGCGGGAGTCATGTGAAAGGACTAGCCACACAGAACGAACTGTGTTTTTCGATAATAACAAATAATATACAAGGCGGGGGAAGTAGATACGCTTATGACCCTGCCTCCATATCTTAGGAGGTATGCTTAGAAGCTCATTTGGCTAGGGTTTAGGGTCAATCTACTTACTATGCACATTAAAGCCCATTACCAAGTAGGCTTCCTAAGTCAAGACAGCCTCCAAGCGGTATTCAAATCTACTCAGGTCATGAAGGATTCCCCAGACCCCTGGGAAGATCTGGAAAGTAGAGCCCTCAATATGGTTACCTGTACTACTATTGGGCGATCTCTTTTTACCCTTCAGGGGGCTCTACTTTCTAGATTCTGCGTCCTAAGCCCTAAACCCTAAACCCCAAACCCTAGACTATATAACCCTAAACCTTAAACCCCAAACCCCGAACCCAATGCCCTAAACCTAAACCCTATACCCTAAACCCCAGAAAAATAACTTAAGGGGGTCTGGGTTTTGGTATCAAGGTCAAGGGCTCACAGGTTGCTGATCTTTCAGATTCCAGCGCCGCATGTTGCTTTGAGGTCGTACCGTAGGGATTTTTTTTTTGCTACACACCATCACTCTTTGCTTCACAATACAATTCAGGGGACTAAGCCCAAGATAGCCAAGATTAAACCCAAAGCAGTTTAGGCAAACTGTGTAGGGTTTAGAACGCTAAGCCCTACACTCTAAAGCCCTAAACCCTAAGCCCTACACCCTAAAACCTAAACCCTAACCCAAGCCTGCTGTGTTTGAAGTCGTTCTCGAAAAGCTCCCCATGGGCGTAAATCCAGCGGCTGTCAGCCTCCCACGAAAGGTCAGAGCAGGGTTCAATTCAACAAGAAATATGGAGTACAAAAGCAGGGGAATTTAGAACCCAATTTAAGGCCATTTTGTGCCCAGTAAAAGGGCATATAGAGGTTTCTATTGGGGGTATATGCGGATATATAGGGTTTAGGGGTCAGTAAGTACGGCTTGGGGTTTCCAAAAATCGGGAGACCCTTCTTGTGTCCCCATAACAAGATGTATGCGCTTCAATATCGCGGTCTCCCAGTTATGGAAGCTACCAAAAATGCTCTTGGGGATTAGGGTTTGGGGGTATGGGCAAGATCCCCCAGTTTACGGGCTGTTGGAGATTAGGGCTTGAGGGTATGGGCCAAATCTTCGGGGCCGTGTGCCAAAAGCTCGTAATCCTGATAGATATGCGATCCCCTGAACCCTCAGCTGCGACACCCTCTATTTCAGACCCTGAGGGCAATTTTAAACGTTCTGCCTTTCAGTCTAATCCACACCCCTGACAGAATCTGGAAAGTAGAGCCCGCAATAACCTCATAATCACCATGGTAGGTTGGTATATGAGCCATAATTTAAACTCCTNNCCCTAAATCCTAAATTCCATAACCCCCCCCCCCCCCCCTAAGGAGTTTAGATTTTAGCTCATATGGCGATACTCTAGTTCTATCCGTATAATAGCAATTATCAGGGCTAGAACCTGGGTTTGTCTCTACCTAGATGGTTACCAACCCTAAACTCTACCCCACTATTTAATAGCTTGCAGCTACCCTAAAGCAATTAAGGATCATACATTAGATCCTCTGAGTGGTGCACGGATGCTTCAAGCCTTGCTAACAGTAAATTCCATTTCATCAGCCAGGGACATTTAACCTTCAAGATTTATGATTTAAGGTTCAGGCTTTAGGATGTAGAGTTTAGTATTGAGGATTTAGAGTTTAGAGGGATTAGGATTTAGGGTTTAGGATTCAGAGTTAGGATTTAGGATTTATAGGGCTTAGGACGTATATGGTTTAGGAACAGACCCCTGGGAGGATCAGGTTTTAGGGTTTAGACTCTAGAAAATAGAGCCTTGCATGATGGTAGCCGATGGAAAACGCTAGGCATGAAGCAGTGGAGCTATAGGGGGAGGCTCTAGATTTTAGAATTTATGGGGTTTAGAGTTTCCCGTGTTTTTAAGGTGTAGGGTTTAGCTGAGGCAAGGGTTTAGCGGTCCCCAGGGACTTCAGAAAGACTCTGAGCACGATTTATGAGGGAAACAAGGGGAAGACTGAAGGGTTGTTCGAAAAAGGGAGTTTCTATAGAATCCTTAGCAAGGACGACAGTTACTAAACCCTAGACCCTAAACCCCTAAACCCTAAAACCCTAAACCCCTAAACCCCTAAACCCTAAACCCCTAAAACCCTAAACCCCTAGACCCCCAAACCCCAAACCCCTAAACCTAAACCCTAAATCCCTAAACCCCAAACCCCAAACCCTAAACCCTAAATCCCTAAAATGGATCCCCAGGCCCGAAGCCGCTCCTGCACCGAGTCCAGGAGGCAAGGGCCAGGTCCAGGTGGGTTTATATTGGGATTTAGGGTTTAGGGTTTAGGGTTTAGGATTTAGGGTTTAGGGTTTAGGGTTTAGGATTTAGGGTTTAGGGTTTAGAATTTAGGGTTTAGGGTTTAGGGGTTTCTGAAAATTAGGGGTACCTCATTGAGGGTCCCCATAATAAGGATTACAGTATTTTGGGGTCTATATTAGGCTCCCCCTATTTTCGGAAACTACCATATAGGGTTAAGGGTGTATACATGGATTTTATTGGGTTTAGGGTTTAGGGATTTATAGAGTTGCACAGGGTTAAATAGGGCTGTGTAGGGTTGTTTCGGGATTCTATATGGTTATTTAGGGAGTGCACCGGGTTTAGGGTGTAAGGAGGGTTATGTAGGGTTGCATAGGGATTCTGTAGGGATCATGTCTGTAGGGATTACACAGGCTTTGTAAAGGGTTATATAGGGCTGTAAGGTCATTTTATAAGGATCATATAGGTATTATGCACAGTTTATATAGGGTAATATGGGGAGTATATAGGGTTTTTAGAGGGTTATATGGGGGCATATGGGGGCAACAGGAAGAAGATGGAAATTACTATTTAGGCATTTGCCTGAACCAGCTTCTCTTGAGAACAACCATGCAGACTCTGCCAGGTTGTGATGATTCATGATAACGTTTCCGCGGCTACCAGGGGTCCATGAGTGTAGCGCGAGCCATTGAAAAGGGATGTGCACTGGGAGTGCACCTGAAGCCTGTTTCGCTCGACTTGCTGCTTTAGATCCCCCTAAGGGCTGGGTTACCCCCTTTAGGAGTTACAGTGGTAGCGGAGCTCCTGGCTACGACCAGGGGCCTAGGTCCGCAGCAAGTCTAGCGTAACGGGGGACGGGTGCCGTGTGTAGTACCCTAGCGGGCCATGACGAGTCATGGCGGGGAAGAAGTTCCGATTCTTGCAGACTCTGAGCTTGATGAAGCTGAGTCGGAGGAAGCGCTACCAGAGGAGGAAGAGCAAGAAGTTCAAGAGTTCCGGAAGTGGCTCCGGCAGCGTGCGCCGGGACGGCCAAACCATCGAGGCTCCCCTCGGAGATCGCCCAAGCGACGAGGTCGTGATCACGAAGACCCGGATGACGACGACACTGGCCGGACCAACGCTGGACCGCCACCGGAATGGGATGGTGTGCAATGCGCCTTTGAGGATTACCTGATACGAGCTCGTATCTGGTTGGCGACGACCAGGGCCAAGCCGCGAACTCGTGGACCCCTGCTCCTGAAGGCCCTGAAAGAAACTCCATTCCAGGACTTCAAGCACCTTGCTAAGGATCCTCAGTGGCTCCAGGACTCGAACAATGCGGAGACTCTCTTGGCGAAGATGAACAGGCCAGAATACTATGGTGACGACCAAGAGGAGCACCTCCTGGCGGCCTTGTCTCGGATCACGTACCACTTGAAGCGGCAGAAGAACGAGACGGCACGTCAATTTCTGGCAAAGTGGGAGTCGGCCGAACGTAAGGTCCGGGAACACAATGTGGAGCTGCCGGCCATCTATCGTGGTTTTCTTCTTATCAATGCATTGGCCTTGTCTGACAGCGAGATCAAGACTCTCTTGACTTTTACCCAAGGTTCCATTGAGCCGTCGGCCATTCGTACTTGGCTACGCAAGCACGAGACCAAGCTGCAAGCCTCTCACCTTGGCACGTCATCGGCAGCGACTAGCGCTGTGCACCACCTCGACGGCAACGAGCCTCAGGACTCCGAGGACCCGGAGATCGCCGAGATGGAGGCCCTCTTGACGGACCTCACCGAGATCCCCGCGAACCCCGAGGAGGACGAGCTTGGCACGTTCGACGAGGATGAGGCGGCCGAGATCTTGGCCGTCATGCTCAAGGAGAAGAAGAAGACCTACGTCCAGTCGGCCCAGATCAAGAAGGATCGCGAGTTGGGCCGAGGATACCGGCAAGGCGGCAAAGGCAACGGCAAGGATGGACCCCTGCGCTCTGGGACTTACAAGCTCAGCATCACAGAGCTCAAACAGCGGACCAGATGCCGTCGCTGCGGGCGCCTTGGGCATTGGCAGAAGGAATGTCCGATGCCAGCCGGAACCACCAAGGAGCAGCAGACCCGCTTCCTGGAGATCGAGTTCGACGAGGCCGAGGACGCGATGTTCTGCCACTACCTGGACATGGGACGTGACGAAGAGCGAGGACGACGGCAAGGACGAGACGACCCGTGAGCCCTTGGATCCCGGAGATGTGTCTCAAGTTTTTCCTGTTGAGGATCGGCGTAAGACCAATCGTAGGAGCAATGAGCCAGATGGCTACGTAGGAGACAGTTTTGAAGATGTTTCAGTGCCAGCTCGAGTGTACATGGATGTGCCGTGTTGGGAGGTCATGTATGGTGCCTGTAGCTCTGTGAGGGATGATGCTTGTGCCACCATCGACACTGGATGTCAGCGGACCGCAATCGGCCTCGACACTCTTAAACGCATGAAACCGTTTTGGCCCGCCGACTTGACATGGTTCCGACAAACCGAAACCAACCGTTTTCGATCGGTAAACGGCGTGTCCCAAACGGACTTCAACGCAGTGATTCCTTGTGGCCTTGGCAAGAAAGGTTGTTACATGAAGCCGGCTGTGTTCAGTGAAGAGCAAAGTAGGAAGGCGCCGTTTCTCATCTCACTTCAGTTTCTGCTGCGCTGTGAAGCTGTGATTTCCCTGGCACGCAATCGTCTGGAGCTGCATCTGACTAAGTGTGGTACCGTAGTTCCTTTGCGCATAGGACCCTCAGGAGCCCTCAGGATCCCCATGAACTTGTTCAATCAGGACATGTTCAAATCCCTGAAAAAAGCCGAATCAAAGATTGAGGACCACCGCAAACCGGACTTCGAAATTCTCAATTTGGCCCAGGATTGCAGCCCTGGTGACTTCGTGAGCCCCATCTCCTGTGACTCCCATCGTCACGGCCATGGACGGCGCCAACAACAGCGGCCGCGACCCTCGAACGTCAACCAGGACCGCATCTACCAGATGTGGCGCTCTATGATGGTGCGCCTCCTCTGTCTACTCCGACCTGTGACCAACCTCGTGATCACGATGGTCAAGGGTTCCTCGAAGACCATGGCGACGCAGACCGAGGGCGCGGACCTCATGAGTCCGAGCACTCAGTGCGCCGCGGCCAGCAGCCAAGGACCGGGGACGCGCTGGGCGCCCAGACCGACGAGCTCCAGCACTACGAGTTTGCCGAGGCCCGGCGGACCACCACCTCCGACAGCGGCAGGAACACGCATATCGACGGCACCTCCTTTCTCTGTGGAACCGGCGACACCGAGCCCCACACCATCATGTCGGTCCGCGACAACGACGAGGTCCCAGCGACAGGCGCCACGATAAGTGGGTTCGATTGCCGAGGTTCCGGACTCTGAGAGCGAGCAGAGCTATTCGATGGTCTCCGAGATCCACCAGGACGATGTGAACGCCCCCGCGGACATGAACGAGCCGGAGGACGCCTTCCCGAACGAGCTTGCGAACCAGAAGAGGACACCCGTCACGGATGCCCAGGTGCAGAGGGCCGTATGGGCAGCGTCGGGCTACTGGCTCCTTCGCGAGAGCCCAACCTGTCATTGCAATCGACGATGCATCATGGAGCTGTCCCTCACGGCCACGAACCCGAACCGCGTCTTCTTTCGATGCGACCGCCGGCTTCGGGGAGGAAATCCATGCAGCTTCTTTCAGTGGGCCCAGACTCAACCATTGACAAGTCCAGAATGGAACGAGAAGCGCACGATGGCCGCCCAAACGCTGCCACCGGACCCCAGCTCTCGGCAGCTCCTCACAGCTTTGGTGCAGGACCATTGCCCTCATCACACGAGGACCGGAACCGGTTCCAACGGCTATGTGGTCAAGCAGAGCTGCTGTCACTGCCATCTTCTTCTGGTGAGTCGATCCAGGACCCGGGCGGAGATGGGAGTCAAGGCCAAGCGCAACGAGGAGCGGGCCAAGACGAGGGCCAGCCAGGGGCGAACAAGCTCACCAACCTCAACCACCAGCTGAGGGAGGGTAGCAACCAAGACCTAGGCTCCCGACAAGAGGTGCCAGCGGCGCAATCTGCCAGCATGGCACGACCGCAAGAGTTTTTGAAAGTTTGTGTTCAGGAATCAGCTAATGGTTCTGACCTGGCGGTTGCAGGAGACGCTTCCTCAGATCTCCTGGTGCACCAGCGGCAAAAAGAAGTTGGAGCGCCAGTGCATGTCCAGTCTGAAGATAGCGATCTTGCGTGTGTGGTCATTGAGAATCAGACACGTGAGAGGAAAGCTTGCCACATGTTGTTGCAATCAGTGAAGCCTGCCTGGATTCATGTTAGTTGCAGAGGACAGATTTCTTGGAAGCGTGAACTGTCTGTCATGTTGCAATTGGCCAGCGATTGTTTACAGTGGCAACCGCAACTTGTGCTTGAACATCCCTGGTTCAAACATAAAAAGGTTCATAAGTTGGTCAAGGAGTTTATAAAAGGGCACCCCCAATCGGTATGGTACTGGAAGACACTCGGGGAGAACTGGGTGCTGACGAACGTGGACATTCCGGAAGAGGAGGACGGCAAGATTGCACGAGACGAAGATGTTCGATGGCAGGTCCGAGCGATGGGAAACGAGTTACGTTCTTGGATGTTAACGAGATCGCCCGAGAACATCACCTCCACCAAGGACGACTTCGCGACCTTCTCTTGCTGAGCGACTCCGAGTTCGAGCAACTCCTACCACCTCAAGCGGACCAACCAGGACGTCTGGACGACTCGTGGCGAGTGTTCGCCTTGGATAGTTCTCTCGGTGAAGACGAAGGTGAACCCGAGTCTCCGGAAGGTGACGGCCACGAACGCTCGAGCGCTCCGGTAGGAGACGGGCACGAACACTCCAGCGAACCGGACGCGGGCGCTTCAGACCATGCCCGCGCGCTTCCTGGGGAGCGACCCCGAACCATCAAGGACCTCATCAGGCGCGCCCATGAAGGACTTGGACACCCACATCGAGAGCGCTTTCTTCGGATCCTCAAGGAGGCCCGTGCCAGTGAAGAGGTTCTACAAGCCGCACGAGAGCTCAAGTGTAGTGTCTGCGACAAGTTTGCGACTACACGACCTCAACGACGAGCAGCCCCGCCACGTGAACATGGCTTCAACGAGGTTCTCGGCATAGACACGCTCTGGTTGCCTTACTTAAGCGGCCGAAAACGCATTGCCTTGAACATCGTGGACTACTCCTCGCACTTTCAAATGGTCATACCTATGAACGGAAGAAGTCCTGAAGCCGCTTGGGCCGCCTATCGCAGCTGGGTTAAGGTTTTTGGACCCCCTAAACAGATATGGGATGACCAGGGTGGTGAATTCAAAGGGGTGTTTAAACGTAGGGCTGGTCTAGAAGGGACGCATGTTGAACCAAGTAGTTTGGAGTCCCCTTTTCAGAGAGGAGTCGCTGAGCGTCATGGGAAAACTTTCAAATCGATACTTGAAAAATCCATGGTTGAGCATGTTTGTAGTTCCCATTCAGAGTGGCTGGAACTTGTCGACATGGCGGTGATGATGAAGAACCGCTTGGCGTCACGGGGAGGTTTTTCCCCCATCCAGCGGGTCATGGGCTATCTTCCACGTCTACCCGGAGGTCTTCTATCCGACGGACACGGAGACCGCGAATGGCACGAAGGGCTGCGAGTGGGTGACGCAGACATTACTAGGGCAATGTCGATGAGGAAGTCCGCCGCCAAGGCCTTCTTTGAAGCGGATTGCTGTCAAGCACTCCGGAACGCCCTCTCAGCAGGACCTCGTCCACAGCGCGACTATTCAGCCGGCCAGATGGTGTACTTCTACCGCCTGGGGCACTCCAAGACTGGAAAGACGTTGCCTCAAAAGTGGTACGGACCCGCGCGGGTGATCCTCACAGACCCACCGTCCACGGTCTGGCTCAGCTACCAAGGAAGTCTTGTCAAGGCTTCGCCGGAGCGCATCCGACACGCAAGCGAGGACGAGGAGTTGACGGTTTCCGGCTGGCTTCAGGGCTTTACGGAGGCTAGAGACCAGTTCGAGAGAATCCCGAAGAAGGGATACCTTGACCTTAACGAAGACCCGGTCCCAGAGTTCGAGGCCACGGAGGACAACGAGGCCAACGACCACGACAGGAAGGACGACGACCCGAATGCCTTCTTTCCGGAACGGCGAGTTCGGCAAAAGACCTCGGATGTCCCGTTCACAGACATCCCACTCCCAACCGGGAACGACGCGGCGGCGCAACCACACCCGGATGGACCTCCCGAGGACGATCTGGCCGACTACATCCCCGACAGTGTGCTGGAAGAACCACCGGCGGAGCCGCCGGCAAACCCATGGCAACCTCTGCGCGGAGAAAATGATGAGAGTGGCAACGAGAGCCCCTCGAAGCGACCACGACAGGCTTTGCTCGAGCTCTACTACGCCAAGTTGGAGACCTTGTTCAAGGCCAGGCAAAGGAAGGAGGTCAAGCTCCGGGAGCTTGACGACCAGGACACGCAGGCCTTCCTCAACGCCACCTCCAAGGAGATCCAGAATAACCTGGACACCGGCGCCTACAAGATTTTGAATGAGGTGGTCAGCGAGAAGATTCGAGCGACAAAGCCCGAGCGCATCATGGCTTCCAGATATGTTCGTACTGCCAAGCCCCTCGAGCAGGACGATATCGACAAGGCCAAGATGGAAGGAACCTTGTTAAATGGTGATCATGGAGGCCCTTGCAAGGCGAAGGTTAGACATGTCATGAAAGGGTTCAGCGAAGAAGGGGCTGAAGAGCTGGAGGCGGCAACGCCCCAGGTGACCCGAGAAGCAGTCATGTTTACAGCCCAGTTGATTGCCAGCAAGCAGTGGGATTTGGGGTTCTTGGATTTTACTCAGGCGTTTCATTCCGGGGATGATATTCAACGGGAGTTGTATGCGGAACAACCTAGTGAAGGTATTCCGGGGATGAAAAAGGGTCAGTTGCTGCAGCTTCTTAAGACCTGTTATGGATTGTTGGATGGACCCATGGCTTGGTTTAAACATCTCAAAAGGGTCTTGGTTCATGAACTAGGTTATGTTCAAAGCATTGCGGATCCATGCCTGTACTTCCTCCACAGAGACACCGGTGAAGGCTGGCAAAAGCTTGATGGGGTCATTGCGGTTGCCACAGATGATCTGTTGCACGGGGGAGGGGAAGAACATGGGCGACTCATGAACAAGTTGAATGAGAAATACAAACTTGGCAAGTTTTCCTATGGGTCCGGAAGATTTGTAGGCAAGCAGTTCACCCCTCAAGAAGATGGCAGCATTTTAGTGGATCAAGAGCACTACATTAAGGAAAAGGTTCAACCCATTGACCTCTCCCGAACCCGTAAGTCCCAGGGATATTCCATGTGTAGTGACCTTGAAATCAACCAGCTCAGGTCCTTAGTAGGAGCTCTCGCGTGGGTGGCTAAAGAAACTAGGCCTGATCTCCAAGGGAGAGTAGCCCTACTTCAACAAGCATTCCCTCGACCGCGTGTTCGAGACCTCCTCATGGCAAATCAGCTAGCACAAGAGGCTCTCCGATTTCCTGCCAAGATCAAGATCTCTTCGATTCCCTTGGAACGGCTTCGTGTCAGTGCAGTGACTGATGCTTCCTGGGGGAATGTCAAGGAAGCAAAGGACACCGAGGACCATGGTAAGGACTACTGGGTGGAGACTGCGACCGCCTGGATTCGACACCATGTGCAACCCCGGAGAACCATGTTTCATCCTGGGATGTCCGAGGTTGGACCTGATCTTCATCAGATTGGCTCGAACCGCAGAACCAAGATTTTTCGAGATGGCCATTGTGAGGAACACCGGGATCAGTGGAACAAGGTGAGCCCCATCAAGCTGGAGCAGTCTGGCGCATGGTGTGGCGAGACCATTTTCGAGAAGTCTGACAAGATCCTCCCAGCCAATGACATCTCGGAGCAGTTCCTACAGAATGTCAGGACCAACAGCCAAGGCGGACACATTATCTTCTTCCATGACTCCGACTTGCAATACGAGCCATCAGCCCAGATCTCAGTGGTGAGCTGGAAGAGCTACAAGCTGAAGCGCAAGGTTGTCAACACCCTGTCGGCCGAGTGCCAAGCCCTGATTTCAGGAATTGGCAACGTTCACTGGTACCGCTTCCTTCTGCTGGAGGCCCAATGCGAGAAGCTGAAGGACCAGGGCTGGGAAGGACATTTGAAGAGTTTGCCTTTTCTTGCTGTGACGGACTCGAAATCGCTTTTCGATACTCTGTCGAAACAAACGTGCCCGTTCAGCCAAATTGATGACAAACGAACTTCGATTGACATTTCCATCTTGAAACAAGAGATGGATGGCGTTGGCACTGTCAGATGGATTGATGGCCGGAACATGATCGCTGATTCCCTCACTAAAGCTACTGGAGGTAACTACCTTCGTCATGTGATGTTGAAAGGTCGATGGACACTCAATGAGCTCGGCTTTACTGATCTTCATAAGGAGATGCCCTCGAATGAGTGCTTTTTCCTGTTTGAAGGTCTGTGGCACCATTGGTTCAGGCAAACAAAGTGTGGAGCGATGTGATTTCCTGTTGGCATATCATTTGCCTGAACCAGCTTCTCTTGAGAACAACCATGCAGACTCTGCCAGGTTGTGATGATTCATGATAACGTTTCCGCGGCTACCAGGGGTCCATGAGTGTAGCGCGAGCCATTGAAAAGGGATGTGCGCTGGGAGTGCGCCTGAAGCCTGTTTCGCTCGACTTGCTGCTTTAGATCCCCCTAAGGGCTGGGTTACCCCCTTTAGGAGTTACATAGGGTTTGGGGTTGGCGTTTGGGATTTTGGGTGTGGGATTTAGGGCTTAGGCCTTAGAGTTTAGGGTTTAAGATGTTTGAATGGGGGATATAGGGATATTGAGGAGTATGTGGACTTTAGGGTCGTGGAGCCCCTATCGTGCTCCTTGGTGTCCAACACTGAAAATTTACAGCTTTTAAGGGGATGAATTTCATGGAAATGTGTAGGTTGATAGAAGCTAGGGGCC